ACAAGAAGTCACACACAGACGCATGGGGCTGATGGAAAAACAGAGATAAACAAGAACCAAAACAGCCATCCTTGACACACATAATAATGCCTATGTGACACATATATGCATTCATAAGCTATCCATCATCAATGCTTCCAGACAGCATTTCATCACGGTCAGAGACAAGCTGGTAAGAATAGCATCAGTCTAAATATGTAGACTCAAACAGTGTTGGAAACAGATGGAGTCCTAAGTGACAGAAGTCTAAAATACCCGATGAACGACTGACCGTCCGCCATGTCAGCTTCTAGCAATCCCTCACCTGTTGGCTCAAAGCTTTGCCAGCCTATAATGAGCAAACAACATGGATAAACATTTTCTGCCCGTAACCATGTGTTCTCTTCTCAGCACTGGTTTAATAATAACCTGGTTTTAATGGTAAATATGCTGATGAGTTCAGAGTGAGGATTGATGGTGTTATTTCACACTGAGACCAAATAAATACAGTTTGTGTTACTTGGATATGTCTTGCGCTAAACTGAGTGAACTGTGACCCAGTTCAATACTACTAGAGTTTATATGTAGTAATAAAATGATTTATTAATTGTTAATACATAATTTAGTAATGCATTATGAATAAATAAATAAATAAATAAATAAATAAATAAATAAAAGCAATTTGTAAGAGCAGCATTGGATTTAATGTTGACAATGAATTAATCTTACTAACAAGTATTGCTTCTCTGGTCAAAGCCTCATATAGTTTATTCCTAAGTTTACATTTGTAACCAATTCTTATTAAGATTTTTTCTTTTCCGTAACAATAAATAGGTTCAGGGCCAAGCGAGTGATTGACAAATTTTTAGGAAGGCCCCATTAATGGACAGTTAATCCTCTCCATGTTATGTGCGATTATGTATGTGGGATTTTTTTATCTTGTGTGTCTCCCTTTGTGTGGTTTTTACTGCGGCAGCATCAATTTCCCCTTGGGGACAAATAAAAGGCTTGAACTTGAACTTGGACTTTCTAGTTCACTCACTTTCTAATAATAATCTATCCACAGTCCACAGTTATAAGTGTTAATAAGATGTGAAGCAATGATTTTTGCTCCAGATGCTCTGCGGCTTTGCACATGATCCAACTGTCCATTAGAAATGTTGATTTAGCGCGGTATAAGAGTCAAAGCAAAGCTAAGTTGTGCTGGAAAACTGTTGCAGTTGCCTTTATAGATGGCTTAGTATTGATTTATGAATCATTAATAAATAATTTAGTAACAGTTCATAAAGAAAGAAACAATAACTGATTTTAATAAACGTAAAGTTAAAGTTTTTTCCCCCAGTTTATTGTTTTTCTTTGTTTTCCAAGCTTTTTTCAGCATTTCATTAATACAATAATGTACAAAGGAAAATAAATAAATTAAGGTAACAAATGCAATGCAAATGCAGCAGCAGGATGTTTTTGACTGATAACCACCAGTAAATGCAAAGTAAATGTGCGTGTTTGACAGGAAGTCTGCCACAACAACATGCCTATGCTGTGTATCACTCCTGCCAGTGACTTATAGGCATAGTTCGTGACATATACCAGTGAGTAACAGTATGTGCGTGTGTGAGTTTGCCTCAGCTTAAACAACCTTGAGTTTCTCTTCTCATCCTGCTCCACTCTAGAGTATGATGCTACATTTCATTGTCATATTCTGTGACCGTATCCCAGGCAGCCACTAGTGGGTTACAGAGATGAGTTAGAGGGTGTATATGAGGTTGCGATGGCCATTCAGGAGCACGTGTCCATCAAGCCTGGCTTCCCTCGGACGCGGGTGAGGCAGGGCTGAAATGGGTTTGTGTCACAAGCAGAATAGCAGGCTGGGGTCAGGCTAGTGGGTGGGTGGGGTGGGTTACACTAATGCATCCTGGCAGTGTGGGCTGTTTCCATCAAACATGCAAGTACACATACACTATGTTCACACACAGGGGCACACATAAACACATGCAGTTGTTGTCTCCCTTCTCTTGCTCTTGATCTCTCTGTAACACACTAGCATTCAGACCTCATCCTGGCACTGCCGAGAAGCTGTAAGTGATGAGATTAAGTGAAGTCGTGGAACATCACTTCTTTGTTACAAATCACTCCATGCTGTTATTCTGTGTGAATGCTGTTCCACTTCTAAATCCGCCCTGATGAGCAGCACAATGGAAACGTCAGAGTAGACTTTAAACTAAGGAAGGCTGCGTAATTAGGAATTAGCAACAGCTTTTCCATCCCTTCAAACACTCCATTGAACAGTGGAGTTTAACTGACTGAGGCCTGAAGCAATGTTAGGTGCTCCATGGGCTTTTGTTTAAGGAAACTCTGAAATCACAGCCGATTCTTACCGACGACCGGCAACCTTTAAGATACTTAAGGAAAAAGGTGCTTTAGCCTTAATGTTTGTCCAAGTTGAGGTAACCCCTGACCATTATGAAATATTAAAATGAATACAACTGAGTACAAGTACAAGTACAACAGACAGGGCCACAGCTATTGGCCAGAGGTCTGGCAAGGATTGTCATGAGATCCTAATCACTTGGTTTCTCCTGCTATTTATACATGCAATAGCATTTTTTCTGCTCCGTGGTGAAAGGCACACTTGTTGGAGAAGAGAATTTGGCCATTCAGACCACTGAATAGACTGTGACATTTGCAGAGAGGTGAAAACTGAGTAAATGAAGAAGAGCCAGAATTATGGATATTTTTTATTGTATTCAAATAAAGTGCCAATTTACTTTAAAGAACCGGTGTGAGATTAAGTGGAATATATTGCAGTATAGTTGCAGAATACAAAGTCCTCGCCTCACCCTCCTGTTTTCCATGTTTTTTTTCTCCCAGGACGGCGAAGTCATGACCTGCCCCTCTCTGCCTCTGACTGACTAACCCTGACAATCTTACCCTAACTAATCTCATTCCTCTGGTTTAAATTTAACCAACCAAACCATTGAAAGCAAGGAGTACTAGCCAATCAGAGGCAGAGTTGGATGGTCATGACTTTGCCATCCTGCAAAAAAAAAATGGCCATGCCTTCCAAACATATAGGAAAGGCTCTATTAAGAGTCAGTGTTTGGTTTGTCCATTCTGGGCTACTGTACATAAAAATGGCTCATTATAAGGAAAACAAAACAATTCTTATTTTCAGTTGATTATACACTAATAAAAACATACCTCCAAATATTATATTCTATTTCTACCAATTGATCCTTCTAAATGTTACGCACCTACCCTTATTCATTTTCTTACTGAGAGTTAAATGAGTATGAATCACATGTGTACATTTAAAAATGCAGCTACCACAAGAAGCCAGTTAGCTTAGCTTAGCTTAGCACAAAGACTGAAAACTCACTCTGTTCAAAGGTAGCAAAATCCCAGCAAGCCTTCAAACTAAACAACGAAATACATACATAGTGCATACCAAAGGTTTGGTATGGGTTAGACACAAAACAACTTGGTTTTGGGTTTAAAAAACAACTTGAACTTAAACTACTTAAATAGCTATTTTTGTAATAGGGAAACATTTTGTTTTTGGTTACTACTAAGTACTACTTTGCTGAGGTTCAGGGCCTTTGGCCATCAGTAATAACCACTTCATTAGGGTTATGGACCAATCATGGTCATGATGAAAAGAACTTCATTGTTGGATCTGGGAACTGGGAAACTAGCAGCAATCTCCCATGTTAAAGTCCTATTTTTAGGCATTTGCCTACACAACTGTTGCTCTAATTTTCCTGGGAGGACAGTTTTTTTAAATTCCAACGATACCAACACCTCTGAACCTCAGTAATTAACATGTTATATCTCATTTGTCATAATACGACAGTGTTGTAGTTTTACAGGGTCATTTGCCAGACTATTTCTTGGCTGGGTGCTGATACTTTCTGGAGTCTTCCTGGAGTTAAACTAACCAGATTCTGCGGTAGCTTAACATTCACCAGACAAACATAAGAGTGGTGTCGTTCTTCTTATCCCACTCTCGGCAAGGAAGCAGCAAAGTGTATTTCCCAAAGGAAGAGAACAGGAAGAAAGAGGAGATGAAAGATGTCATGTTAACATGTCAAAGAATAATGCAAATGTGGGATTAAAGTCACATCTGTTGGTGAAAGGACATTAGAATTGTCTGTCCATGAGTGAGTGCTTATACGAACTGTATGCCCTGACCGTATAATTACAGCCATTTGAATGCACGTTGCCCCTTCAGCAAGGAGGAATCAAACCTAAAAGATTCCCATTATATAATACAGCATGTATCCTCAGGCAGGCTGCAGAGCAGAGCAACATAAGCTATAGCTCACACATTGTATGACAAACAAGAAAAAGAGGAGGAACGAAAGAAAGAGGATGAGTTCTTTGAGTTTTGTCTATGACTTTGTTCGCATCCCAAAGTTCAGCAAGTGGTTTCAGACAGCACGAGCTCTGAGCGGAGGAGTGAGGCCAGAGAGACAGAGACACACAAATGAACAAAGTAGATACAGTATTTTCACCAAAGCCTTTAAGGTAAGACCTGACTTCATGACTGTTTCTTCTGTGTCCACTGGTTTGTTTTTAACTTCTTTAAACCCACATTCAGGTGAACTGTGGGTCACCAAAATAAAGCTAAAATCACATTTTTTGTTTTTACTTGAACTAACTTCACAGAAAAAGCTAAATTACTGTGAATATTTTGTTGTTATTTTTTAATCTTGCATTATAGGACTTTCACTGTGCCTAGCACTGAACACAGCACAGACAGCAGAACTGTAAACCTAAAGGACCACATAGTAAACAAGAGCACTCTGGAAGTTGAGTGGAATTGCCATTGATCCCAGAAAACAATTCCACTTCCCCTCCTGTTGCTGAAGAATGCTTCCCAGCAAAAAATAGAGTACCAGGGATGTAAGAAGAAAGGGGGAGCAGAGGGGGGGGAGGAAGAGGAGGAGGAGGAGATCGAGGAGGAGAGACAGAAGGGAGGGCCATGGAGGGAAACACTCTCTCATGATGCCCCTGCTTTTCTTCTCATGCCCCCTGTGTGGACTAACAGTTTGGTGGTGAGACGACACGAAGCTCAGACACCGTCCTCAAGAGCCAGCTCCTGTTAATATTCACAAGAAGAAGAAGGTAGTCCCACCGCTGCACCAAGCCTGCTCATGTCTGCACCATCACCTGCTATTTGGCCACTGAGTTGAAGGAAGACTTGTCTCACCAGGGGACAGATAAGGAGCCTCTGCTTTATCAGAAACAGCACTTCCAGACCACTATCCTACAGCAGGTAAGTGACGAAATGAACATCAGATATAACAAAACTCAGGTGAAAGACTAGTAGACATTTGGGAAAACGCTTTAAGCATCTGACTGAAAAACTACAGCAGTGGACTTAGCGATGAGGTCTCTGAGAAAGAGATGATATCTTGGTAGTGTTGGGGCGATGGGGTGAGATGGGGTGAGAGGGCCAGTGTGTTTAAAGGATCCCTGTCCTCCCTGGCAGGTAGTTATCACCCTACTCACTCTCACTCTTTTCATCTTACTCTGTCTGTCTCTGTCCCTCCTCTCTGCTCATAACTCTCAAAAGAGACCATATATTCAAACAAAGCGCAGCACTGGAGACCTCAAAAGATAGGGCCACATGCTGTATTGTATGTGTACATACTGTATGTGTTCATACTGTATGTGTTCATACTGTATGAAGATTTTGAGGAGTTATTATCTCCGTGGTGTCTCAAGATGAAATTCTGTTTGAATGCTATCAGAAATTTCCCATGAAAGTTTCTTGTCTCTACACAGAATTGACTAAAAATATGTGAGTTGCAAGTTTTCTGTTTTGATGAGGTGAACTAAACTAACTTTCATATAGCTGTTCATTAATTCGAATTGACAAAATACACTTAACGTAAATGAATGCTAAAGAACTGTGAACTGTAGGAAAATGCACACTTACTTAAGAGAGGTGCTGGCTTACAGGTAGACATTAAACAAATAAATCTGATAAGTCTGCTATTGTAAATAATATATATAATAATAGAGTAAATATACTTCATTATAAGTAAATGTCTTGTGATCAAAATGTTACTTCTTAAAAGTACAAGGCACTAGCAGAAGCAATTTGTACTAGTATAGTATAAAAGTTAAAGTACTTAGTAAGTAAAAAATGTAAGTAAAGTAAAGAAAGTAAAGTACCTCAGAACTGTATTTAAAGGCAGTTTAGTGCTTGACTAAATGTAGTTTATTATAGCCTTCGTCACAAAATGAAATAAAAGACTAGACAAATATATTTATGACTCTAAGATAAGATTTTGAAGAAAGTAAAAAGAAAGTGCCGTCACTTAAATGAGTATCCACAAAACAAATCTATTTCATACACCATCAGACAAAGTAACATCAAGTTATTCAACCTGGGTCTGTGGTCTGAAAAATAGCCAGCACTGTGACATCCCCACTCCCAGCACAGTCATAAAAAAGACTCAGTGGAACATAACAAGCCAAACAGCAGGTGAGATTTGTGTACATTCAAGGATCGATTTACATTACTGACTCTTCAAAATAAAAAGGACATAAAAACAAAATAAACAAAAGATCACAACCAGCCAAACATCTAATCTGTCATCCCCCCAGAAATAGCAGCTAACCAGGAAATTCAATCAGGAGTGTGTTAGTCAGAATTTTCCTCCATGAAACACCTTGCAGCTGTCTGGCCTGTGGGTTCCAGTTTAATGCCATATGCAGCTAAACAATAGATCATAACAGGGCTGTGGGTCTGTGTACAGTAGTGGGCAGATGAAGAGCCAGACAGCCATGTAAGGTAGCAGGCAGCACATCGGCCCACTGGCTTCTGCTGGTGTGACTGATATATGGCAGCCTAGATCCACGCCGGCCTATAAGTGGTGGCAACAGGTGACTTACATCCCGCATCCCGCATCAGATTCACTTTGTAGGTCAAACTATCCTTAACTCACCCCTCCACAAAGCCAAAACAGCTAAACTTAAACATGCTCATCCTTGATCGTAATCCCGGCACTCATGGGAGTGATACGCACGCCACCCATGCAGTCCTGCAGCTGCTGTAAAGCATACTGAGATTGACCCTCTAGACTTGTTAAAATCCAAGTTTAAAAGCCATGCTTCATATATACTACATGCCTTTTAAGCTTCAACTTTGACACACAGGTGCAATAAATCTAATAAAATCTCTAAAATGTCACAGAAAATAAATAATCCTTATTTATTTCCTTTATTATACCTAAATAACCTCATGAAAGAGCTTTCAATAGAGAGTAAAAATAACAATCACTGAGCTGAATAACTGCAGCCTGGGTATGTTTGGCATGTCTGTTGATGTCAAACGAGACAGATGAAACTGGTATATGAATGTGTTAGCGCAGAGCAGTTGTGTGGTTGGTCTGACATTTTCCTCGTGCTCTGCTGCGGCTGTTCCACTGAAACGTTGCTGAGCTGTCACAACACTGCACAGTGAACCACTACCAGCAAAGATATTTTGTATATAGAGCTCCCGGCAGAGGCTTTTCATTTGGGGTCATTTAATAAGAGCTGTAATGTAGAGTTTATCTACCTTGGTAACTTTACTCAGTGAGGAAGTCTCTTTTCTCAAGGGGAGAACTGGGAACAAATAACACTGATAGTCAGACAACCACACAACCAGCATACAGGAAATATAAAGTCTGATATACAACAATCAAACAGAGTTAAAGAAAACAATTACAAGAGTCATAAAAAATTCAGGATAATAAAGCTTTAATATCTCTAAGGGGAATCAATGAATCTTGAGGGGAGTTTGCAGTCCATTCCATTTAAAAGGTTGATAATACCTGATAAAGATTAGCACATGGATATGGAATATCTACAAAGTATCAGACCTTGTACGATTGTAAGATTTAAATGAGAGACATCTGGAAGCCTTACAGTAGAGTGCTATAGATTATTATTAATTTATGTCAACAAGAAAGTCCATCCAACTTCATGATACTGAACGCAATGATGCATCAAATAAAATATACGTCAATTATTCTCAGCAGTAACCAGTGAGTGGCAAACATTTTTATATGACTTTAATTTTGTCTTCTTTCTTCTTCTGTCAAATAAACACTGAGGACTTTCTTGAAAATAGGTAGTGAAACCTTAATGGGATGTTTTACTCTTATTTTGAAAAACGTTGAAAAACACTACTGGAACAGGAGTTTGATCACTACTAATGATCAGTGCTTAACAAAAACACACCTCAACTAATTTGAAAATGTGTCAGGTAATACATTTCTCAAGATTAAATGTTCAGATATGGAATGATCTATATGCAGACATATAGGCCATTAAGTCCAAATATTAAATATTTGTGATCTGGAACAAATAGTAAAGCCATGTAGTTACAAAGACATCATACACCAGCCGGCCAAATTTGTCTCTCACAATATTTTTTAGAATCAGGCCCCTCCAATGTGAGACTGTCTCACTCTAGGATAAATTAAATACTGTAGAAATTATTCTAAGAAAAATATGAGTTTTCTTGAGTGTGTTTTACTTCCTAATGACAACGATAAATGTAATGATAAAGGTTATGTGGTTGTTAAGCCAGCGCATTGGGATCCTTGCTTAAAGATTGACTTCATCTCCTGCAAATCCTCCCAGGCACACATAATAACACAATCGTATTTAATGCACAACACTGTGTAAATACTTTTTCCTCCAGTGAAGGGAAGCAGGCCGAGAAAATGTATACCCCACCATCTAATTGCCTGTCTGTTTATGAGGACAGCGTAGAGCAGGCAGTGTATCCTGGTCCTCTATGAGGATCCACAGTCTGTCAAACAGGGCTTAGTTCTGAAAGCTGCAGATCACTGAAGGAATGTTTAAATCAACCCTGCCCCCTGTTGTTCCTGGCCAGTGGATACACTGCGGCCTGAAGGGGAACCAGCTAGTGTTGGGAGCTAATATAGGAAAAGATTGGAAGAGAGATGGCAAAGAGTTCAGTTTTTAAACTCATCAAGAACTTTATTTATTATTTTTACATTCAGAGAGTTAAAAACTAAAGACAACAACAGAGAAATGCTGTTTATCTCTGCACTCTAATGCTATGATATCCTAAAACTTCCATCCAGGGGTTTTCTCCAGGCTGAGGTGCTGCCACAGCCCAGAGTCACTGCCCTCTAAGGCAACAGTGAGGCTGGTCCAACAGGCTGCAAGATTTATTGTTGTGTTGCAGAGTAGAGAAAATACCCAATATTTATGCCTGTTGCTCTGCAGCGAGTCACAGCGGCAGCCGTCACTTCACAGTGATGCAGTTTAGTAGCTGCTATTTCTCTCGGAGCTGCCTGGTGCTTATCCAGACCCACTCAGTGTTAGTTCATGCACATTTGACTGGAAGTTTAAATATAGTCAGTTAGTCCAGTTTAAGTTTGAGTTGACACTGAAATGGTGAAATGGCTGTAGTTTTTGGCGACAGATCATACAGAGTCTATTTTCTCACTTAGTTTATCATAATATCTCTCAAACACCTATCCTAGAGTCTTTTTTTTCCATGGAACTCACAAACACTCTTCCTCAGTACAGGACACATACAAAACCCACGTGGAGAGACTCAGAGATCTCCGCTGACGCTTTGATCTACGTCAAAGAGAAATAACTCAGAGGTGCATAATACATTCATTTGCGCAGTTTACCGTTCCAAATACCTTATAACCAGATTGTCCATTACTTCTCCATTACTCTGCCACAGAGATTATAAACAAATATGACAGCCATGATGGTCTACAGGCAAACCAGACCGCTCAGCACAGGGCCCAATGTATGACAGTAAATCCATGGTTATTGCCAGGCTTCCAGAGAGCCAACAGGAGCACAGGTATGATAGACAGTCGGCAGTAAAAGGTGCTTTTACAGCAGAGACGTTTGCTGGACTAGCTTGGCTCTAACCTTTCTGCCCCTCGGCCTCCCACTCTTTTTAATACCTTGTTCCTTGTGTCCTTCGGAAATCATATTGTTTGGGATTGCTTCCTCTGAGAACAGGAAGAGGTAGTTGAGGGAAGGACAAAGAAACTATACTCCTCTCCCCAGCTGATCTGAATTCCACTTCTACTTTTCTCAGAAAAAGAAAGCTTCCATTCCCATCACAGTGTATGAATAGTAGTGTGTGTACTGTGGGTGCTTTCAAGAGAACTATTGGATGGATGTGCCATGAAATTATGTACAGACATTCATATTTCCCTCAGGATAAATTGTTATTACTTTGGTGATCCCTTAAGTTGACATCCAGCCAAAATGTTTATTGTTCTATTATACTTCAGTTTATGACCAAATATCAGCCTGTACTGTTTAGTGATAATTAGCAAATACTATCATGCTCACACACTAAACTAAGATATAATAATAGTATAAACATTATACCTATTTAGCATGTTAGCATGCTAGCAGGGGCTTTGAGCTACAGTAAATCTACATCGTCACAGAGATGCTGGATGCAGGCGGCTGTAGACTAGTCCTGTTTAGATTAAGCTAACTAACACTATACTATAATATAATTACATTTTGACACTTTCAAGGGCTACTAAAGAATCTGAATATCATTAAAGGCCTACCACACAATTGACAGTAAACTCTCACGTCTTTTAACATGTTCATGTTTTACCACTCAAAAATACTTTTGTTAAACAATGTCTTTATATGCCATCTAAGGAATAGATGGCATATAACGACATTGTTTTTTACAAAAGCATTTTTGTTGTCTCCTATCACTAGATCACTTAGATTTTAAAGATTGTATTTTGTACTGGATACAATACGTAGAGGCCTGTCATGGTGCGATACAAAGGTTAGCTTTGAAGTCTAGATATATTGTTAGCAGGGTCTGCACAGGTGAGGAAAGCCTGTTGTCAGTATTAGCTGATAAAAGCACGGTCGTTGTTCTGTGCACCTCCTGTTATTGTGCTGGCTGGACTCTCACTCCCTTCCTCCTCCAACTCTCTGCCTGTTTGTGATTTACTTCCAGTAAAGATCATCAGCTTAATCCGCAGAGGGCCTTGAGCCAGTTCCCTGAGTGGGACGAGGACCTAACTAACTGATGATCCCACTGGTCTCCAACTGTGACCAGTCTGTCTGACGTTAGCGGGTATTAGTTGCATGCTGGAAAACAAGTGTCAGACCCAGAGCTTTCCTATGGTATGCATTTGCGAATCAGCCTTGTGCGTGAATAGTTTGAACATTTCCTCTCCCACGTGTTCTAACAGGGGTGTTTTGTTTCCCGCCTCTCTCTGCTTTACAGATAAAGAGCACAACGCTCTGATTTTCCATCTTATTGCCATATATATACTTCATAGAGACACCGAGGGAGGGGGAGAGACAGACAGAGGGACAGATGGTCATGGTCATTTAGACCATCTCTCTCACACACATAACCAGTGTCAGTGTCAGCCAGGCAGTTCAAAGCCCTGCACAGTGGACTACACAATGGGAGAAACTTATTATGGAAGCAACTGCTCGTGAAGAGGAGGGGTAAGAGAGGATATTAACTCCCTGTTTGGCTTTTTTCACTCTCTGTGGTTATGGTGATAATACTGTATATTCTACCTGGCACACCATTAGAATAACAGTTTGTCTTAACACAAAGCTTTTGAAGAATGTGTACGTTTTCTATAACCTTGCCAAGTAGGGCAGTAACTTCAGATGTGTGACGTGTTGTTGGAAAAACCCATCAAACTGTTACTTTCAGCCCTCATTTTTTATGTTATAGCTCATCTGTCTTTGATCTCTAATTGTACAGTAAAAGCTGGCAGTAGACACACATACATAGTGCATATAGATGTCAGAGGTCACCCCTTGATGGAGTTTGATGGGTTTTCCTAACCCCTCAAAGACGGGGTCATTTATTGCCCCCTTAAAGCTGTCCGGTGAACTGCCTTATAGGGTCATTCTCCACTGAGACTTGCCAGCCTGTCACTGCCATGTTTGGTTCTTACCCAAACTCTTACTAATGCTGGAGTCAAGAGGTGAAAGCATACATGCACAGCGAATAGTTGGAGAGATCTGATTGACGCTCTCAGATCCAGATTGCAGCGTGTAGGAGGAATTCATTTTTGCTCAGAGGACATCAAAGCTGCCGTTCTGTCTGTTGGGAGTGAAGTCTGCTGGTCATGGTCCACAGGCGAGATGGGGACTGTGTGGCTCAGGCCCGGGTCACAGCATTAAAAGGACAAAGTCTCCTAGCTTTAACTTGCCCCGTGGTGGCCTGTGGTTTCAATGTCATACATAATTTGGGATTGCACAGGGGGAATGTAAACACACACAAAATAATATTTAATTATTTTTCTTAAAACAACCTCATTATTTACTTTTACATGACTCCCAAACTTCCTCTTCCTCCCTCTCTCTGTGTGTCTCTCTCTTTCGCTCATGGGAAAATGGTTGTTCTCATGCCAGTGTCCAGTCCCCAAGCAATTCACAGGCTATTTTTATGCATATAATGCTGCACACACGCCCAGGTCATTTCATCAGCAGTGTATAGAGGACCTACAGCTGACTGTAACTGATTATCTGTATTCTTCTTTTCTCCTTTTGTACCTTTCTCTCTGCTCTGTCCTTCCTTCACCTCTGCACCTCAGTGACCTTTTCACCTGTAGCACACCCTCTTTCCGCCCTTTCTCTCCTCCTTCTCCAGTCTTTGTGTCTCAGGTGTGTGTTCGGCCTGTGAGCAGTGATGGGGGACTGGAGTCTCCTGGGGAATTTCCTAGAGGAGGTCCAGGAACACTCCACCTCGGTCGGAAAGGTCTGGCTCACCGTCCTCTTCATCTTCCGTATCCTGGTGCTGGGCACGGCAGCCGAGTCCTCCTGGGGCGATGAGCAGAGCGATTTCCTGTGTGACACTCAGCAGCCCGGTTGCACCAATGTGTGTTATGACAGTGCCTTCCCCATCGCCCACATCCGCTACTGGGTGCTACAGATTGTTTTTGTCTCCACACCATCCCTCATCTACATGGGCCACGCCATGCACACGGTGCGCAGGGAGGAAAAGCAGCGGAGGAGGGAGCAGGAAGAGAAAGAGGCGAGAGGGGAAGGCGAAGGAGACCTGGAGGGGGAGAAGGAGTACCTCCAGCAGAAGGAGAGCGGAAAAGTGATGACATCTGATGGGACTGGACATGTTCGCCTGAGAGGAGCGCTGCTGCAGACTTACATGCTGAGCATCATGATCCGTACAGTGATGGAGGTGACATTTGTTGTGGTGCAGTACCTGATCTATGGGGTGTTCCTCAAGGCTTTGTACCTGTGCAAGTCATGGCCCTGCCCCAACCCCGTCAACTGCTACATGTCCCGACCCACAGAGAAGAACGTCTTCATTGTCTTCATGCTGGTGGTGGCCGGTGTGTCTCTGCTGCTCTCCGTGTTGGAGCTTTACCACCTTGGCTGGAAGAGCGCAAGGAGGTGTGTACGCGAAAGGGCATTACAGAGGAGCAACCAGAGAGCTGTGACGGTGGCCGTGTCCACAGCCTTGGAGCCCAACAGCCCACCCCGGCCCTCGGCCTCCTGCACCCCACCCCCTGACTTCAGCCAGTGCCTGGCAGCCCCAAGCTCCTTGAACGCCATGACCTCTATGGCGTCTCACCCCTTCAACAACAGGATGGCGCTGCAGCAGAACTCAGTCAACTTGGCCACCGAGCGGCATCATAGCTGCGACAACATGGAGGACGAGGAAGACTTCCTGAGGATAAGATATGACCAAGCCCCCACAGAGCTGCCCAACAGCTGCTCCCCATCGCCGCTGATGCACTCCGGCTACATGAAGGACAAACGCCGCCTGAGCAAGACCAGTGGGAGCAGCAGCCGGGCTCGCCAAGATGACCTGGCAGTATAGACTCACAACCAGGAAGAGTGGCTGATCGGGTGGGAGAGGAGGGGCTCGACCTTCAGAGCCAAAGAGAAGGGACGGAAAGATCAGTTTAGGAAGACACAGACAAGAGGAGTCTGAGTGAAGGGGTCACAACGTGAGCACAGGCTACTTATGCAAACTCTGACACTGAAGCCTGACACTTGACTATAGAGGATGGACTGGACTTTAAAGAGTGACACTAAGATCCGTGAGTGGACTGTGTAAACTTGACATGTGTGAACTCTGTGAGCAGATAGTGTTTGTAAACCAATCTGTCACAGAGCTCAGAAAACTGACAACCAAACTGCAAAAGAAAAATAATTTTGAATTGAGAACAGGGTAACAGGTGTGAGACCTGACTATTGCACATTTTCTGTTTGAAAAAGTTAAAGCCAAAAACTAAAACAGATAAAGAGACTAGTAAGTGAAAATGACACGATATTGGTGTGAGAATCCTTTCATTATAATCCATAATATGACACACATCTCAACTATACAATTAAGATTAGGTAACTTTAATAGCCCAACCAACTGTTTCTTTTTTTTGCGGCAAAAAATAAAATATACATT